CTTTATCAGTTTATACCCTCTCCCAACCCAGGTTCTCGTTTGTAAGCTAATTTAACGATTAGTGAACAAACTTGTAATACTACATTAATTTTTTTACGTGCATGAAATGACTTGATAATTAATGAAAGGTTTTAATGTATTTTGACTATGCTAATGCTTGTTAAATATTATCTTTATTAATAAATATTTACAATTAATAAAGTTATTTGAGCTCATGTCCGATTTGATGAGTTTACATGACTGAAATTTCTTAATTGTGTATTAATAATACATATATATATATATATTATTATACCAGCACCACATCATTTACATGCAAACATGAAGTTAAAAGAGATGTAGGCGAAACTAATAAATGTTTTATTGATTTTTACAAAAAAATTTGTTAAAGCGTGAGCTCGAGCTCACAGGCGCAGTAATGTGGCGCAGTAATCGTATATAATGTTACTAGAGAATGTGAGTCTTAGCATAGCATAGCGGACTTTCTCTGTGATTGGTTAATTTTTCACAGATCATTTTAGTAATTTCATCCAATCAGAAACAAGATAGATTATTTTGAAATTTATTAATTAATATCTTTCTGACTTATGCACTTGTTAAAGCATTGACAACTCTTTCAAAAAGTAAATCTATATTATTATCTAAAGAAAAAACTTTATCTATATTAGTATTATCAATAGTTTCAGAAATATTTAATTCACCTATATCCTTATTCACGGTTATTTTGTCAAATGAAGTCAGTTTTCTGAAAAGCTTTACAATTTTTTTCGATTTCACTCACAAGATAATTACATGTAGTACATTTACTTTCTAATTTAAATAAAAACACTCAAAGTGATAAGTATGTTCGCAAATTAAAATACAACCTACCTCACAAGATTTTCAAAATCACAGTATCTATCTTCTCGAGGAGGGTGAAGCCATTAGCAATATTTTAATATCAACTTGAGTTTTAAGTGTTGAAAATTCATATACTTAAGGTTTTGAGTATATATATGAAATAACTTTTGATTTGCTGAGATTCTGATAGACATCTGTAAAAAAATTTAACAAAAAAAGTGCAGTACGTTTTTCAAGATATTCTAGCTGTTTTGCCAAATATTTGATATTGTGATTCTCAGCAAATACATTTGTAAAAGAATTACCATCACGCATTTGATCGATTGTTCGTGCTTGTTGAATAATTTGTTCTGCCGTATTTGATTTTTGTATTTGTCATCGAAGTGAACTGTGAAAGTTCTCTACATAATAATTATTGAAAACGTAAAGAGAATCTATAAGTATTTGTAAAATAGGATGATTAGTACTGTTCCAATAAAAAACATCACTTAAAAATACCAATGGCAATTTGTTATAATGTCTACGCTTGTATTGATAAGAAATAATCCAAATATGAAATATAGTTTCCTTATATATCATCCAATTTCCACTATGAAAGATGATGGGATAAAAATCTAAAACCAATAGAACAATATTATCTAACAAATTAATAAGATATCGAACTTCTGGATCTTTAAATTATTCGAATTTCTGCAGAATTACCAAATGTACTTGGGACCAATCTTGAAATGCTAACTCAAGTATCAAATTAATTTTGTAAGATTTGGACTTTTGTGCTAGTTTTTCAAATGTCCAAATACTTCATGAAAAAGCTTGTTAAAAAATTGATAATTTTCAGAAATATAGTTTCACGACTGTTTAAGGATATATACAAAGGTCCAATCATTAGAACAATATGCAAAATTTGCTCTGGTATTTCAGAAGAATCTTCAACTTTAATACGATAGTTGATGGCGCGTCTACATAAAGTTGTTCAGAATAATCCATAAGTGCTATTAATACTTGCCTTTTCATAAAAGTTCTTACCTCAGAAACATCTATAAAATACCTAAGGGCATCTATATAATTTGTGGTTGAATGAAGAGACCCTTCTTTTAAATCAATTAGTTTCATATTTTCCATGCTTCGATCAGTTCGGCGTTGTTCAATTTTATCATCATAACTGTGAATCAAAAGACGTTCAACTCATTCATCATGTGTTTTTAACAGAGACATCAAATTAGTAAATGCTTGCTTTCGTTCTATATAGCTAAGCCATGAATAAGGAAAGAATGATGATGAGTATGCATTTGATATGATAATTTTTGAATCAATATTCTTTTCATTATGAACACTTTTTTCTTGACAAAATGGAATAGATGTTGTTTTTGACAAGACTTTTAGAAGTATCATAATAAAATGGGAGACTTCATGTATGGATATTGTATCACTATGACAATGCTCATGAATATTGTGAAAATCATCCACATTGAGAACAACCAAGCTCTTGATCTGTGAAAAAGTTCACATATATTAGTCATCATTTGTGAATTGTGAGATATAAAGATATTCATACTTACATTTTTCAATAAAAACTCTCCCACTGTCATTGTATGTGCTTCTGCGTGCTGAGTTTTCTGTCTTGCAATGGTTTCACGTCTTATTGTTAAGCCTGCACCAGCCAAAGTTTCTATTGCTGATGAAGATGCTCCAGACGCGTCTAGCAAAAGTCCAACCTCTGCCTTAACGCCATTAATAAATTTATTATTGAGTCCTGCTAAAAAATAGCAAAATGAAACCAATCTTTTTTTATTTTTCTCATTGGTCATATGACTCTTTCCTTGCGGGTTAGTTCCAGTTACTAATTGATCAAAAAAACCTTTTAATGACGGATCAGCTTTCTCGAGCATTTTCTTGAACTCTTCTGGATTGAGAATGGACCTTTCATTATATATACATTGCCTTGTGTATAACACCCCCACCATTAGTTTGATTTTCTTACTGAGAGGGATTAACTCTAAAGGATAATAATAATTCGCATGTTAATCTCGCCGTAATAATGAAGAATTTTTTCTAAAAAAGCAATTGAAAACTTAATGCCAAATTTACTTGCCTAGTTTTGTTTCATCGAGTTCTGCACATACTTCATGATATGCGAACTCCAGTTCCTGAAATTCAAATTGAGAATAAATAATATCATTTCGTAATACATATGACCTATCTTGAAATTTTCTTATATTCTCTTTTGAAATCCTTTCTGGCGGTTGTGGATAATTGGGTAGATTAACATATTCTGGATCGTCATCAGTTTTATATAGACAATGGTGACACATTATTGCTTCATGTTGTAGTTTAAAGAATTTGATTAATCGTGATGGTGCCTTCTTGATATTCATTTTTGTACCGTGCTGAGCTGTTGAAGTATAAAACTGATGTTTTGGATGCGAACATACATTGTTAGTTTTAAATTTTTTTGCATTTACTATTAACTTATTGTAATGTTTTCGACACAGAGCCTTGCCAACCAAGTCCAGATCTTGACTCGAGCTTGGTATCTTCACTTGTTCTGATACAATAGATGCACCATGCTGTTCATAGTCACAGACGACGCTCCCTTGGCCCTCCAAATCACAATGTCAAGCCTTTCTCTTTCCTTTTTTCCCATTGGAGAAGATTAGATCTTCGTAAGGAGTTTCTTGTGCAGACATTTTGCTTTTTCTGGTAATAGAATGCTTATTTATAACAGAGTAAAAATAAACGCTTCTTAGCTAGTTTCCAAATTACCTCGCTGTTTCTCGAATTATTTTAACAGTCTATAAAACGGAAGGTATACTTGATAATTTTTTTGATCGCAACCTTTGCCAATGCGTCCTCGTGACTACCAAGTCGTGATACGTTACGCTAATATGTAAGAATATCGTGTAACATTTCAGCAGATCATTCAATCAGATTAAAGCCCGCTATGCTACCCGAATACATTGATTGATATGATGTTCGCCGAAAGAAACAAACACCTTCTAAAGCCAGAAAACGGAAACGAGTATTTTACCGGCATAATAAACCGGCCAACTAGAATTTCAGCAGAAGCTAAAAGCACCGTGACGCTACAAAAACTAAAAGCTGGACTCGAGTACTTCCAAAGCAAGATCAACGAGCTGAGAACATTATTCTGCAACTTAATAGACTCGATTCATTTGCCTTTTATTTCGAAGGAAATTTCAGCCAACAAGAAATATGGAACCGGAAATTAAGTTTCGAGCTTCGCAGGATTCAGATCCTAAATTTTGGACAAAAAATTTGGGATGGGTCTCGTCGCCGTTTGCATTAAACAAATCCTTGGCATTTCAATTGGTGAAGAAATTTAGTTACCAAATTCGAAATCTCAGAATAATGATAACGATAATCATTTAGGATTTGCGTTTACGTATTCCGTATTATAATCATAGATTTTAAATTGGCAAATTTAAGTTAAAAAAACAAAAGTTCCTCCTATGCTTATTAAGAAAGCTATTAATACGATTTTGTAATCTGATTAAGGGATTTACGATATCGATATATATTTGTATGACATTAGCAATTTATCGTCGATACGTATATCGATATTTAATTCTTATTCTTATTAAAAAAAAAAGTAACTACATGTATTGAACTATCAGAAGCGACAAATTACATAAAAAAACTATCCACGCCCTGTGGTGTAGTAAATGTTGGAAACACCCTATTTTCTCCTGTTGGTGGCGTTGTGCAAGAATGTTCAATTATTCGATTAATTGAATCAATCATCAATAATTCCGCACTAAATTGTTTCATTTTTTTTATGTTCGAATTTTCGTTTTTTTTTCCGAGGTATTTCTAGTGATTTCACTACACACCCGATGGAATGGATCCATGTAAATGGGAAAGCAAAATAGGGTGACTATAGAGGGGCGTGACTATAAACGGGTGTGACTATAGAGGGGTTTGACTGTATTACGTGAAGTTCTAATGAATCCTCCGACGCGAATTTTTGAGCATAAAGGTAGTTGTAATTCCACGAATCTTTTGAGAATTTACCCAATCGATTTTCATCTCCTAGGTAATGTTTCTCGTCAAAGGAATATGGGCCATTACTTATCTCTGAAAACATAAATTCCCATTTATGTTGGGATCCTGGGTATTTTTTGGATCCTGTTACATCTGGATATCGTAATGGACCAGATTTCCCTCCGTTGCGATTTTTTGTGGATTTTGATAGCCCGCTGTATTCGATATCAATATTATCAAGCCCATATGTTACTAACTCGCATATAAGCTTAGCAACTAGATGCGAGTATGAATACTCGTTTATGGCTGATGATCTTTGTGCAAATAATGGAGATGTCCAAACACGTTCCATTTGGACTAGAAATGAACCAAGTCCACTATAAAGTCTTTTTGATTCAGGCCGACCACCTGGTATAGAACAATATCCGTGTTTTATATGACTGCTGATAAAATTTTCTTCTTCGAAAGTTAATTTTACGCGATGTTGTCTGCAATCATATAACCTTATTTCATCAAGACAATTATGCTTCTTGATTGTTTCATACAGCGGTTGGTGATATCTTTTACGCGATGTTGTCTGCAATCATATAATCTTATTTCATCAAGACAATTATGCTTCTTGATTGTTTCATACAGCGGTTGGTGATATCTTTTACGCGATGTTGTCTGCAATCATATAACCTTATCTCATCAAGACAATTATGCTTCTTGATTGTTTCATACAGCGGTTGGTGATATCTTTTGATGAAATTTGAATGGATCACTCCATTAGTCAAAAGATCTTGTGGAATTAAATCCACCTTTTCAATGTTCTTGCAGATGATTGATGCGGCTTTTATCATATTCGGACAATCAACCACAAACTGATTCAATAGAACATAACAATAATTAATAGTTTTATTTTTAATATCAAATCAATAAAACTTGCATAAATGAACTTACATTAGAAATCCTTTTTTTTATTAAATTCAAAAAGTGACAAATCTTCAACAGATTCGTTATTTTTGTCAATATTATCTTCATCGGATTGATCACCTAATTGGTCATCATCATCATCGGATTGATCTTCAAGGAGATATTCTACATTGTTTTCTGTAGCGCATTCTTGAACATATTTCCGATAATTAACTGCGCTAGTATTTTTTAGAAATTTAATATACGAATAAAATGCCTTTGACACCTTAATATATGTTGTATCCTATGAATAAATGGAAGAACATAATTAGAATATAGAGCCATAATGTTAAATATTAAAAAAATTAGCACGCGAATATATAATTTTACGAGGTTTTGATTTTTTATCATCTTAGCAGAATAAATCATCATCATCATCATTGATATGTTTATTAGAATAAAAAAGAGTTGATACTTTCCTTAAATTGTTCTTAAAAACACTGTTAATTTTTAAGGATTCTCTGTCTTCGAATGTTAATGTATCTTTTAAAATATATATTTTTTTGTTGTTTTAATGGGTCTTTTAAAATATATATTTTTTTTGTTGTTTTAATGGGTCTTTTACGGTTTTTGATATAATTCTTTAAGCGTCATGTGAGGTAATGGATAATTCAGATAGCGAAATAGATAACTCTTCTTCGAGAAAAAGATCTTTGCTAAAGAAAATGAGGTTTGACTGTAAGAGGAATTGGAAATAAAGGAATAATAATAAAACTTTATTGTTGATATTGTATTTGGTTATCTGCCATACATTTTCATATGTATCATAACATCAACTAACCTGCTTCTGCTCAGTAAAGTAATCGTCACATTTTTTATAATATCCAGAATTTTGTATTTCGAAATTATGACTAAGAAACTGCTTTCTATGTTCTAATAAAAAATGTTCCTTGCGAATTTTACATAAATTTCTGACCTTAACCTTAACTCTAATCATAATCGAAATATTAATAACATTTCGGTTATATTGTACATAAGAGTTTATAGAAAAATTTTGTAGGGAATATTTTTGTTAGAACATAGAAAGCAGTTTCATAGGCATAATTTCGAGATACAAGCTATTTTTCAAAAATAATCGTTTGTTTTGAATTTTTCTGTTACACATTAATCTTACGATTTGATTAGTAATCGTAGATCCATCAAAAACGTAAACAAAAAAGTAATCAAAAACGTAAACAAAAAAGTAATCAAAAACGTAAACAAAAATGTAATCAAAAACGTAATCAAAACAAAAACGTAACTTTTGCTGCCCGTATATTTCACGTGTATCGTAAATCACGTGTTCGGACATTTTTCTTCGTTCTTCGCCATGGCTAGGTTAGGGTATTATACGTAGTGATTGGATCACATAGGAGGACTTTTATGTGATTGGCTGATCTTAATCAATTACTCGGGTACAACTTGAGTACTTAATTTATGTACTTTTACGGGAATATGACTAGAACATCATATTACTATTAGTAGAAAATAAAATAACTATTGTTTTTAGTTACAAAAAAGTGTTAACATACTCGACACAAAATAATCTCAAAATAATCCAAAACCCAGAAGTACTTTAAACATGCCACCGTCAACTCCTCTTACTGGTCCATGCATAATTACAATATGCCAAAAACAGTCAAACTGATGGAAAAAGGTAACTGAAAATGTTATTGTCAAAGGTCAAGCCAATAATACTTTACCAGATTATATTCAAATAGACGATATAATTTGTTTAAATTGTTATAATGGAATTGTGATAAACAGTTCACGTGAATTTTAGCACCATGTTCAAGCTAGTACAAAACGACGCAAACTTGATGAAACTGAGAAGACTAATGAAATTGAAAATACTAATATCATTTTATCTTTTTCTCAAGCAATAGAAATAATAACTAACATCTTATATATTTGTGAAAACAGAGAAAAAAATCAACATTATACTCATTTGATGAATTTTGTATAGTTATGGAAGGGAAGGATGCGAGATTAAAATCCTTTTTTGATGAGTTATATTTTTCATCTAACCCATCCACAAAAAATAAAGATTCACAAGCGTGGATCAAAAAGCAACTCTTATTCATATGTTACTTTCTTTGTGTGATTCGGAACAAGTTTATTAATGATGCAAAGAGGGATTTAGCGATATATTTGGATTCTACCGGTGCTTCTAACATCTCTATAGATACTCTTGCTGATTTGGGTGTAACTACGACATCTCGTACAATCACACGACATAAGACTAATGTATCTGAAGAACATGCTAAAACAGTCAATTCTATTCTTGCTGAGCATGCGGAGAATGCAATGATATTGAACATTGATGATTATTATAGTATTCATACAAAAAGGATGCCGAATACGACCACCACTTCTACTGCAGCACATCTGGCAACGATTTTGATGAATCTGATTACTACACAAAAAGCAATTCCAAAGATGAATGTACACAATTCTGCATTGGTTGATGTCAAGTTAATAAAAATGAATCTGGAAAATAGATTCATGATGCTTTATGATTTTTCGCACAATCGACATTGGGGATTTCATACAGTTGATGATGATACTAGATTGGAAGAGTTAACTGTACACAGTTATGACATTAGGTTGAAAAAACACGGTGTTACGGCCCGGAATTATCTTAATTCCTTAAATTTTAGTCATGTGATAGAGCAGAGATAGCAGAGATAGCAGAGATAGCAGAGATAACAGAGATAGCAGACATATCAGACATATCAGACATATTAGATATATTAGACTTAGCACATTAATCTATCATAACACAGTTATCCAATATATCATATTTATCTTATATTGTAATATTCTTGTTATAAATTATTTTATATAAATAAAGAACCTTTTGGATAAACCAAAAGGCATCAATTGATCAATACAAAATCTAGCTAGTCAATAAACTGCTCTTGTTTATTGTTTAATGAAATTGTACTTTAATTGATTATAATCCATTTATAATAATCTTAAAAATAATAACTTATTAAAATACTTGCAATTATTGCGCACTATTGGACAACCGCCAAGTTGCTAAAGAACATCAGTACTGTGTTGCTTTAGGACTGTCCCACACTAAGAAGACGTTATATCTTTTAGTAATAGTGATAGCCTATCATTAGGATAGAAGAAAACGCACTGCGTGATGATCCCGAAGTAACGATTACAACGAGATCGAGTAACCGTCAAAATACCGTCTATAGACGTTGGTTGAATATTGACGTCACAATTATCACCCACCAGGAGCCTGATTGTGACAACGGAATACTCGTTCTATGAAGAATGTTATTCTTGTAGACTTACAGAAAAATAATCTTCATTCTCTGGATGACTATGTTAGAGCTATTAATATCGTTGTAAATGTTCCATCTATGTAGCAATATATTCAAAAAGGATATATTATTCCTGTCGTCGCTGATTGGCCTGGACAAATTTATCTTAGAACAGCTATCTCTCGTTATATATTTTATCATGATCAATCAAATATCACTGAGAACATTTTGTCTTTTCTTCCCATTATAGGTCCTCTGCATATTTTTCTGAATAGTCGTGAATTAATATTCCTTCAATATCAACCTTTTTTTTCAACTATGTACAAATATATTTTTGGAGAACGAAAATCTCTCGCACAAAAGCCCAAGCCATGGTGTATCAATCTTTTTTTAGAGATTTCTCGCAGTGCTTGGCAGGAAATTTTGATGAATGTTGAAGCAAAATTTGGATTTCTGTGCAAAGATGCTGAATATCTTGCACTTAAGGATCTGCTTGATAATATGATTCCTCTCGTTCTGGATATTTATGCTGTGTTTTTCTGATCTGGTGATTTGAATGCTTACTTAGAATCTTGTTTTTGTGTATGGACAATATTTCTTAAATTCCGTCACAGAAACTATACGAAGGTGCCATTGATGTTTCTTTCTGATATTTTCTTCTGGGAATCGAATAATCACTCTATCCTAGAGACTATTAAGACTGAACTTCCAAAATTCTCTGATTTGATTGTAGAAATATTTCACAGTTTTCTACGCAGAAGTACACAGAAACACACAGAAACGCAACAAATCATTAAATATGGATGTTATATCAACCAATTATGTTTGGATAATAATGGATTTAGAGAAAACTTCACGCACACATCTACATGGGCAGCATATGAATATTCTGTACGAGATATTATAATTTTGACAAAAAAAAGTGCCTGTTTCCTTTTGCAATGTTTTTCAGAAATTTATACGCGCTTATTTTATCATAAAATACCCTTAACATTTCCATTACAAGCCACTACAGGTTTATCTTCAAAAAGAAAAGAAAAAAAGAAAGCCAGCGACAATATTATTCCACTAGTTGCAATGAAAATGCCAGAAGCACAATTATGTCATCTTTCCTTAGGTTTCAGTACCTCACATAAACTGAATCAATTTTATTATTGTGATGCATCTAATTGTTCTATTATTTTGTCTATTAATA